ATGCAGGGGAACCAGCAGTTAGCATAATGGCTATGTCGCTGGACTCCCACGTAGTCAACCGCAGTTCACGTCCCAGACCCAGTGGTTTAAAACTCACGCCGGGCGCATGTGCGTGTGTGCCCAAGATCCCGAGAGGAGACTGGAGGAGAAGGGATTATGGCGTGACCATCCCCCCTGGGGGGTGATTTCTCGCCTTCTGTCTCTATGTCTCTGTCTGTCTGTCTGGCGAGCGCATGTGCCCTATAGCGAAAATCTCTCCAAAAAAAAAAAAAAGAAAAGTCAATGCAGTTGTGTGGGGTCCAAGCCCCCCTACTCAATTTCCCCGTTTTAGGCCGAAGTGGGAGGAACTAGATTTGGGAGTCAGAAGGGCTGGCTGCTGCTTCTGAGAGACATTACGGCACAGTGATGCTACGAGCTCTGCGTCGGACTGCCTGCGTTTCACTTCTGCTCCCCAACTCAGTAACAACATAACCTTGAATAATTTATTTAACGCTTTACACTTCAGCTTCCTCAAATTTAGAACAGTGGTAACGGTACCTATGCCGTGAGGCTATTCTGAACAAGAAAGAAAATAACTCATGGGGGCTGAACGGTGGCACAGAGGTGAAGCAGCTGGACCCAGTGGGAAGGTCCTAGGTTTGCGTGCCGGGAGCACGCGCCTGGGATCCGGCTGGCGGGGCTGCAGGTGGGCTGTGCAGTGGAGGCCCTGTTGCGGCACCCAGGCTCTCTCTCCCTCTGAAGAAATAAACCTAAAAAATTGATAATGCTCACAAATGCTGACAGTAAAGCCTGGCAGACAGTAAGTGTTCAATAAATATTATTAGAGGGGCCAGGAGGTAGCATGTTGGTTAAGGTGCCAGACTCCCACATGGCTGACCACAGCTCAACTCCCAGACCTAGTGGCTTGCTTTCTCACCTTCCCTCTCTCTTTCTGTCTCTTTCTGGTAAGTGAACATGCCCTATTACAAATTTAAAAAATAATACTAACAATAACAAATAAAATTAAATAAACAATTGTTTAAAGAATATATCATTAGAGGGAAGCAGCAGTTAGCGTAATGGCTATGTCGCTGGACTCCCATGTAGTCGACCGCGGTTCACGTCCCGGACCCAGTGGCTTAAAACTCACGCCGGGTGCGTGTGCGTGCATGCCCAAGATCCCGAGAGGAGAATGGAGGAGAAGGGATTGCGGCGTGACCATCCCCTCTGGGGGGTAATTTCTCGCTTTCTGTCTCTATGTCTCTCTCTGTCTGTCTGGCGAGCGCACGCACCCTATAGCGAAAACCTCTCCAAAAAAAAAGAAAAAGGGAACCAGCAGTTAGCGTAATGGCTATGTCGCTGGACTCCCACGTAGTCGACCGCGGGTCACGTCCCGGCCCCAGGCGCTTA